GTCAATTTTTTATTTATATTATTTAAATTAATCAAGTTTATTAAACCAAGCATTGTTAATAATATAAGTACTAAATTGTTTTTTTTTGAAATATTTATATAAATTTAATATTTTTTATTATATAAAAAAATTGGACTCGTTGCAGGGTAGCAAGAGGTTTGAGTGTATTTAGTATTGTGGTTATGGTTTAAAAACAACTATTTTATAAAAAGTACTTTTAGTTGAGGTTGGTTTGTAAAAATATATATTTGGTTAAAACTGTAGTTGAAATTGAAGTTAAACAAAAAATAGTTTAATTTATTTAATGAAGAGTGCTTTTCAAATTAAGGTTATAAAATAACTAAAAAAACATATTAATATTGATAGTTTTTAACTGAAATATTGTACATTTAATTACTACTATTACATCATGAAATAAACAATACTTTATATAAATTATTTTTTATTGTTCCATTAAACTATTTACAATTTCATCATGTATGAAATCAATCAGACAAAAACTACAGTTTTCATGGCTTCTCGAGTGTGAAACAACATCAAGTAAAATATCATTATGAATAAAATTAAGATTGCGATTAAATTCTATAAATGATACATTATCTTGCGATCTTCTTATAATATAATTGTTGCAGGAGTCGCGCCGCGACGTTGGTCTATGATAGTGGAGGCTTTTATCATGCCTCTCGCATGAGGTATTATGTTGGAAAGGTTTTTGGATTTAATTATAAAATTATGATTAATGTTGAGGAGTTGCTACTTAATATTACGGTCACCAGGAACTTATGGTCTGCAAGAGTTTGGGTAAAGGACTGGTTGTGGAAGGGAAAAATGCATCACTCACAGTGCACCCTACCTAAGGTAAGCTGTATTGTTGTTTGATTGTTTTTCTAGGTTAGATTTCTATTCGTTGGTTTTTTTTAAGATTCAAGGTAGATCTTTTTTACAAGAAAGTCTCTACTTTATTGGGTTAAATCCTAGTAGTTTTAAAGTCTAATTTTTAGCATTGTACTTATTGACATCTTGTATCTTTAATAAATGAGGGTTTACTTTATCGTGTAATTTTATACTCCACAGATATTAAAGTTTATATTTAGACCCTAAAAAAAGCATTGGAAAAAGGTTTTTGACATTTTTACCCAACCCTAATGGATAATCATAAACCGATTATGATATATATTTTTTTCAAAACATGAGAAAAATACAATTTTTGTCTCTTTAAAAAATATGCTTGGAAAATTTTAAGATTTGACCGTATATATAAAAAAAATATTTTTTTGGAAAGGAAAATTAATTTAAAAGCTTTGAATTTTTTTTTGAGAAGTTTCGAACAAAATTAGGTATTTTAACATTATATTTGTATCTTATAGTGTAAGTATACAAACATGGTATTTTGAAAATTACTGAAAAAATATATGAGAAAATCACAAATTTTTGAAAGGATTTTTTAATTTTGTTGTGTTTTGTTTTTTAAAACATTAATAATAATAATAATAATAATAATA